CTTCCCCCCCAGGACCCAGATGTCCTGCCCCCAGGAGCCCCTCATGCCCCCATTCGCAGTTGCACAGAGAGGCTCAGGGAGACGCTAAGGGAGCCCTGCAGGCTCTGAGCTCTGGAAATGAATTTTCCTTCATGGTCCATTTGTATCCGAGGCAGCTCCAGGACCCTAGGGCCTGAGGGCTGGGAGGAGCTCAGGGCTTTTTCTTCCCAGCACCAGCTCAGTGTGAGACCACCACTCGCAGGACTCAGTCTCTCCTCTTCCCACCTCCTTGCAGAACCACCTACAGGTTCTGTTCAGGCACCAGATGTCCCAGCAATCACCCCCATTCAGGCCTCAGCCACCTTCCCCCAGGTCCACCTTCTCTCTGACCCATTCCTCTCTCCCTAAGCCTCTGCCCCTGAGAGTCCCCCTGACCTGGCAGCAGCAGGGCAGAGGCGCTCTGGGCCCCGTGGACATTCCTGGCCTCACAACTGAGTCTGAGGCCGGCGCTGAGTCCCCTGCTGAAGCTCAGGGAGCTGTTGGTCCAGGGTCCCACTGAGTGGGAGGTGACCTCACTGTAGGAGGCTTCGCTGTGGTTCCCCTTCAGCAACCCATCCCCCAGCAGCCAGCGCAGGGAGGGGGCCGGCTGGGCTCGGGAGGAGCAGCTGCAGGTCAGACCCTGGTCCTCCCAGGAGCAGGAGGGTCCCAGCAGCTGTGGGGGGTCTGTGGGGAGAGAGAAGGGTCAGGGGTACCTCTGCCCTCCCAGTTGGTAGGCAGCTATACAGACATGAGCTGAGTAAGGACCATAGGCCAGGTACAGAAGGTCACCAGGATGAAAAGCCCCAGGTGCCTAGCAAAGGGCAAAACTGGCCCGACAAGGACCTGGTGCCCCAGGGTGACCTTTCCTCCCCAGCACATCACTGGTCATGCGGTTTAGATCCCATGACCTTTCATATGGCCGGTCATGCAATTCGGACCCTCCCCTGACCTTCCCTTCCCTAGCACGATCTATGGAGAAGAGTCCATAAACATTAAGCCCCCAGGACAATGAAGTTCTGACCTGCATCAGATACATCTAGGACTCAGTTATGTTTCAGCTCCAGGCCCAGAAGAGCAGCAAAACCAGATAAGTGCCGCCATAGCTGACCTCAGGACCAGCTGCAATGACTAATGACCCCCTGCCCTGGCACCCACCAATCAGTGGAAACCATGACCCTGATAGACACACCTGGAAAGCTGATGAATATTCTACTGGGATCCTCAGACCTCCAGATACATACCCTCAAGAGAGGATCCAGTGCGCTAGGGAGCACGCCCACACTTTCCCCCTCCCCCACATCTCCCAGGTGCCTTAACTTTGTTCTCCTCTCTCCCAAGCTCCAAGGGCCCCTTCTTTTGCCTCTGTAACTTGTTTCCTGAGCTCATTTCTTCTATGGATCACTTCTTCTACCTCTTTGACTTTCTAAATAAACTTTCTCTTATAGCTTGAGTCTTGACTCTGAATTCTTTCTTAGCCAGAAATCAAGAACTAAGGTTGGTGAACCGAGGTTTGGTCTGACCCCACCAGTTTAACACTTGGTACCATTCTCGCCACTGCCAACACCAGGGCTCAGGTGTGCTGCCCCCACGTACTCCGGTACTCCCCATGCACAGTGCACAGAGAGGCTTAGCAAGTCCAGGAGAGAGCCCAGCAAGTTCTGAGCTCAGCACACGAATTCACCTTCATGCTCTCCATTTGTATCCCAGGCAGGTCCAGGACCCGAGGGTCTGAGGGCTGGGAGGGGCTCAGGGCTTTTTTCTCCCAGCACCAGCTCAGTGTGAGACGACCCACTTGCAGGACTCAGTCTCTCCTCTTCCCACCTCCTTGCAGAACCCCCTTTAGGTTCTGTTTGGGCAGCAGATGGAGGGCCCTGTCCTAGCAATCACCTCCATCCAGGCCGCAGCCCCTCTCCCCCAGCTCCACCTGCTCTCTGACCCATTCCTCTCTCCCTAACCCTCTGCCCCCAATAGGGCCTCTGACCTGGCAGCAGCAGGACAGCAGTGCTCTGGGCCCCGTGGACATTCCTGGCCTCGCAGCTGAGTCTGAGGCCGGGGCTGAGCCCCCCGCTGAGGCTCAGGGAGCTGTTGGTCCAGGGCCCTGCCCAGCGGGAGGTGACCCTGTAGGAGGCCTCACTGCGGTTCCCCTCCAGCAGCTGCTCCCCCAGCTTCCAGAGCAGGGAGGGGGCCGGCTGGGCTCGGGAGGAGCAGCTGCAGGTCAGACCCTGGTCCTCCCAGGAGCAGGAAGGTCCCAGCAGCTGTGGGGGGTCTGTGGGGAGAGAGGAGAAGGGTCAGTGGCTCCTCTTCCCTTCCAGGACCCAGGCGTCCACTCCCTGGGTGCTTCCCGATCCTCCTGACTCACAGACCACAGAGAGCCTGAGAGAGACACTTTGGGAGCCCAGCCAGTGCTGAGCTTGGCAGGTGAACTCTCCTTCTTCTGCAGTCCCCACTCGAGGCAGCTCCAGGATCTCAGTGCTGGAGATGGGGGTGGCGTTCAGGGCTGGGGACCCCCGGAACCAGCTCAGTTGTGCAGGGGGGTTGCTGTCAGCCACGCAGCGCAGACGCAGAGTTTCACCCTCCAAGACGGAAAGGGATGTGGTTTGCAGAATCTCAAAGGCTTAGGGGAGAGACGTGGAGAGAGAGAGAGGTGGGGTGGGCAAAGCTGGAGTCTCCCTCCTCCGTGATGTCCACACCCGCTCGGAGGAGGGGACTAGCAGCATCCAGGCCTCAGGTCTTCAGAAGAGGCCCAAATGATTTTCCTGGAGTTGCCCAAGCTGTCTTGCAGATGGAGGGCAGAGGGCTTGAGATATGGGGGGGGAAATGCAGTTATGGGCCAAAGAGGAGCTAACAGAAGTAGGAGAAGGTGAAACTTCAGATAGTAGAGGGAAGTGAGAGGAGGGGGAGAGCTTCCTTTTGATTTTGGTCACAGAAAGCTGCAGATGAGCAAAAGATTTAGAGGTGAGGTTTGGAGAGGGGTTTTTCCATCTGACCGCAGTAGCTGGCTTTCCCTATATATCCCACTTAATCCCTGGCACACTGGAGCTCTGAGACCCACCTAGATCCTGTGTTCATCCAGCCCTGGAGAGAAGAGGTCCTTTCCTACCTGTGCTGTTTCCTTGGAAGACGCTGATGGCCATGTTCTGTGGAGCATCTGAGACAGAAGGACATGGCAGCCTCAGCATCCATGGTGACAGATGGGTGGGCACGGGGCCTTCCCCCCAGGAGCCATGGAAATAGATAAGGGGGTTCCCTTCCTGGTAGACTACTCAGACCCTGATCTCAAGCCCTGGCCCCAACCCCTCCAGGACTCGGGCATCCTGACCCAGCACTCACAGGTGACATTGAGCTTGGTGGTTTTCTTTACAGTCGCACCAGTGGGAGGAAAATACACCTGGCAGGTGATGTTGGTGCCGTGATCCTGGGGCCGTGGAATGAGGGTGAGCTCAGAGGAGAGATTGGTCCTGGTGCCCAGGGAGGTGTGAGCAGCTGACACCCAGGAGAAGATGGGGAGCGTGCCCTCCTCACAAGCCCAGGGCACAAAGCAGGTCAGTTTCTTGGGGTGGCCTGACTGCAGGGTCCCCTGGCTGAGGATGCTGGGTGTGTGGGTCAGGGCTGGAGTGAACAGAGAGATGATTAGGGCCACTTGGCACAATGTCAGCCTGCCCCAGGGTCTTGTCATGGCTGTCCCCACTCCACCACCAGGGGCCTTCATTTTTCTATTTCTGGTACCCTACACCCTGGGGCCTTTCCTCGGCCCCCTACTGTACCTGTCACTTTCAGAGAGAGCATCTTATCTGAATATGAGTGTGTACTAAAGCCCTTTTGTATATGAAGGAAGTATGTCCCACTGTCCCTCCTGTTGACATCTCTGATGATCAGGGAACAGTCGTTGTGGTTGAGGCCCATGGGCAGCAAGAACCGGCCCTGGGTCCTCCCCTGCAGCTTCTGTGCTGGTTTGTTTGTGGCCACTGGAAGACCATCCTTTGTATCCACTCCTTTCCTGAACCAAGACAGGTAGAGATATCCAAAGGTCATTCTGGAATAGGAAAATGTGCATGGCACGGTCACGCACAGGCTCTCCTGCACTGTCACGGACTCCTGTATGTGCAGCTTGTAGTCTGAACTCTTAGCCAGGGGCCCTGAGAAGAGAGAAAAACAGCCTGGAGCTCCAGGGCCTCCCCCAAATGGACTCCCCTCTCCCATCGGCCCACTCACCTCCCCACAGCAGCAGCAGCAGCAGCAGCCTCAGAGACATCCCTTCCTCATGCCCTGGGATGGTCTGCCTACTCGGGTCCCTCTGAGACACAATGGAAAGATGCAGATAAGGGAGGGCAGAGAAAGCTTAGACAGGAAACCTGTGGTGAGAACTTAAGGTCACAAGTCCAGAAGAGGGAACTTGAGATTCACAGAGTGTGTGCTATGATTGACTCTTTGAGATGGTCCAGCCCCACTTCTGCACATGACAAATGAACCCCGAGGCTCAGAGGAAGTGAGGGGCTTGCCCAAGTAAGGCAGCAAGGGAAGACACAAGCCCCCAAGTCCTGGGTTCATGGGCAACCACCTGCACTAGAGAAGCAGGTCCCACCTGACCAGGTCCCTGACAGTCATGGCCTTGGGACCCTCATGGAGGGGGCCTACTAAGGATGGGTCTCCAGATAGCCTATAGGGGCACCAGTGGCAGAAAAAGGTCCAGATGAGGCAACAGAAACATGACATATCATCACTCATTTCATTCATTCATTCACTCATTCATTCATTCATTCATTTGCAAACTAACAGAAAAGGTTTGAATCCATCCTGATCCTCAAGTAGTTCAAGCAGTGAGGAAAGACAGACAAGCTGATGGGCTACAGCTTTATCTGAAGGCAAATGTTCTTAAACAAGAAAGGGGCAGGGCCCTATAGGTATCATCATGGACCCTCAGAGGCCAGTGTAGGGAAAGAGCTGGAAAGGAGAGGCAGGAGGCCAAGAGGCCAGAGAGGAGAGACTATTGTGATTGTTCAGGGAGGGAAGAACCAAACCTGCATGTGATGGAGGAAAGATTTGAGATAGAAGACACTTTGAGTAAGTGAAACTTGAAGGGAGGTGTGGTGGGTGGGGAAGGGAGGCACCTAGAATGACTCCCAGAGCCCTGACTCTAGTAACAGGGGCATGGAGGTGCCATCACCAAGAGCAAAATAAATGGGCAGGGCTGGGCTGGGAAGAAAGTCATAGGAAGACAGCAGAACTGGCCCATGGGGCTCTTTCCTGGGGGCCCTTGGCTACCTGTCACATTCAGAGACAATGCCATATATTGGGAGTCATAGTTCACGTAATATCTTTCTATCCTGATGTTCAAAGAGCCACTGTGAGCCCTTAGGCCCCCAAGGTGGTGGAACAGGCCCCAGGTTCTCTTCCAGGTTTTGATAGGGTCTGTGGCCTGAGGAGTTGATGGTGCCTGTTGGCCACCACCAGGATCTGAGGGTGAGTGTCGAGCAAGCTAACATTAGCCCAGGAAATCCATGGATTGGACTGGAGAATGGGACAGGGTACACAGGCAGGCCCTCCTTTGCTGTCACTGACTAAAGGTCACACATTGTACCTGCAATATCCCCCAAGGACCAGAGTCTCTGACTGCAGCCCCACCCAGAAGTCTCTTGCTCAGACCTCTGTCACCCTCACAGCTGTGGCATCTGGGCTGCAGAGAAATAGTCCAGAATCCCATGACACCATCTGATTCTCAGACTGGAAGTAGGGGCAACTGCTGGGTGGTAAGAAAACTGGGAGCTCTTTCTGGATGGAAGTGTGTGGTCTCTGCCCCAAACTCCCCCTTCAACGCAAACACCCCTCTCTCCCTTAGGCCACTGCAGGGGAAGTGAAAGCTGAGCTTTTCTGCCCCTGGACCACAGCAGGGTGGGCCCTTCCCTCCACCTGTAGCCTGAAACCCTGCTCTCACCTCCTGAAGACCAACATTCACTTCCCTCAAGACAGATGTGGAGTTTGAGGGTCAATTTTCTCCAGAGTCCCTCTCATGGGAACAGAAGAGTGGGATTCCAAGACTTTCCTGAGGCCAAATCCTCTCTGTGTAGAACCCATCCCAGGCCTGGAGCACCCCAGATGCCTCAGGAAGCACTGGGTGAACTCTTGACTCCATCTCCCTAGACACCCTATGGACAGAGTCTGGGACTGAGCCTGGGGCTCACTCCAGCGCCAGGCTTGGGTGAACAGTTTGGGTTCAGAGGGAGACAACTTATGACTGGGTTTTAACCCCTCCTCAGAGTTCCAGCACATACAAGTACAAAATATTCCTCCCCGTGTTCTCCATAGCTCCTCCAGCCTCCAGAGTTCCTCTCCTCCATGGGCGGCCACCTAATGCTTCTCTCCTTACTTGTCTCCCTGGTGCAGCTTCTAGGTCTTACACTAGCAGCCATCTGTTCCTCAGATTGCACCTTGAGGTTTCCAGTCTAAGCAAGATCACTCAGGTGCCGACATGTTGCATGTTTTCCATGACCTCTGAGACAAGCCCTCCATCAGCCTCCTGATTGGTTTTTCCTTCATTATCCCACAGGCACTGAGGCATTTTTTTCTTTTTAATCTTTCAGGCCCTGGGCAGCGTTGCTCAGTGGTCAGAGCATCATCCTGTACAACAAATGTTGTGGGGTTCGACCCCCGGTCAGGGCACATTTGGGAGGCAACTGATCTCTCTCTCTCTCTCTCTCTCTCTCTCCTTTCCTCTTTCTAAAAATCCATTTCAAAAATTTTTTTAAATCTTCCAGGATTTGGCACAGAGCTATATAGACAGTAACAGACAGTAAGGGACCATGTGCTTTTGTTCTCTGTCTTCTAGAACTCTATGTAGGTACCAGCCAGAGACTGAGCAAGAGCAAGAGAACAGGAGAGGAAAAGAGGGGCAGGGGCGAGGGGCAGGAAAGAGGGGGAGAGAGGAAGAGAGAGAGAATCAGCATGTTGGAGAGAGGGGCCCTTCCTGTCTCTAAGCACAGGAGGAGGGGAGGGGGGTGTGGAGTCTGCCCTGAGCAGCAAGAAGCCAAGAGTATGTGAGCAGTCCCTCTCTGGCTGAATTTAGGGCCCTATCTCCTAGGGCGACAATAAAAGAGCAGAGGGGCATGAGAACTATATAAATTAACTAAAATCAGAGTTAAGTCAGGGCTTTCTACATGCTGCCTGAAATGGGACTCAGCTGACCAGAAATGCAAGCAGACCACAAGAAGCCCCCCACAAAGAAAAATCCTGCAAAGATGAATAGCTACTTGCCCATATCTTATCGTTTACACAGACCACAAAGAGGAAACAGACCACAAAATATACCTTGCAAAGGTTAAAGTTAACCCCAACTTTTTTTTTTCCACTCTATTTCCCCATACCAGCAATTTTTCATAGAAACTACAAACAGATGGAAGAGGCCCAGGGTCCTCTCCCGCAGCTTCGGACCTGGTTTGTTTGTTTGAAAATCCTGGTGTATGTTGGCACCTTCCAGGAACCAGAAGCTGGAAAGTGGGTCCAAGTGATTCCATCATCTGGGAGGTAGGAGAAGGTACAGGGCACCGGGATATGCAAACCCTCCTGCACGGTAACCAACCCTGGTACCTGCTGCTCATACCCTGTGTGCTCCTCCAGGGACACTGTGCAGAGCCCCACATTTATCTCTGTGACATTTAGCTCCAGCAGTCCCCCACCCTCCTCTGCCCCAGCCCACTCATCTCCCCACTTCAAGGACAGCAGTAGTAGCAGGGGTGACATCTCTGAGAAGGGAGGGCCTATTCAGAACTCCTTAACACAGTCAGATCAGCCCTTCCTGGCAAACGTCTGGCATCTATCTCTGGGTTTTGCCTCAAATTCTTCTCTCCAACAGGACCACCCCAAATCACTGCAGGGGAAGTGAAAGTTAAGCCTAATTGACCCCAAGGACACTTCAGATGGGAGCTCTCTTCCTTTCACTTCCCCACACAGACCCTTTTCCACCTCCTGGAGACCCTTCTCCATCTCCCCTCGGGAGAGCAGGAATTCGGGTAATCTTCCCACCATGCAGGGACTCACCTGGGACCAAATCCTCCCACCCCATGTCCATCCTCAGCCCAGGTCTGAGCACGTAGGGAGCCTTGGGAAGCACTGGCCAGAGCTCCTAAATTCCTCTTGTGACAGACCCAAGGTTCGTGTGCCAGGTGCTTCAAAGCAAAGGCCAACATTCAATAGGTCAGGGTTTGGACTGTCATGTAAGAAACTTCCAAACCTGTGAGAATTTTTATGAGCTTGCTTGAGCCAAACTGACGACAATTGCCAAGAAGCAAAATCTCAGCAGACTGAGAAAATGCTCCTGAGAATGGCAGTTTTACCTTTTATTTTTATGTTACAGTCAAAGGAAGAGGCATAAAAAGGGTTACACGAAATTCACTGGTGGTAGATTAGGGAGGTGGGAGGCGGGAGAGAACAAAGCAGGGGGGACTCCGTGAGATTGGAGAAAAAATAAAATGAAGAGACAAAGACTTCCTTTACGTTGGTGGGTACAGGACAGCTAACAATTAACATTTACAGCATGCAGAGATGGTATTTGGGCAACAAGATAACAACGAGAGGTCCATGGTCTCCTGCTCTGGCGCGAGACTGTGCCCTGAGGGGTCTGGGAAAAGGGGGATAATTCTGACATTCCATGTTGTCGTAGATGCAAGATGACAACAGACAAGATCACTTAAGGTAAAGATTAACCTCCGTCAAGGAAGATACCAGCCTAGGACATGACTACCCACGAAGACTTGCTTTTAGCTGAGAAGTTTTCATTTCAGACCACCCTCTGTGGTTCTCTGAGGTCTCTGAGTTTGTCAGGCTGCCACACAGGCCTCCCCTGAGCTTGTCAGGTTTAGTATGTGACCCCTTTTTTTCATCCACAGGCTCAAGGAGCAGCCTGCCTCACACGTCCTCCCTCCTTGGGTTTCCCCACGAGCTCCACCTTTGTAGTGTGGTTTTCCTCTCCCAGAGAGGACCAAGATAGCCTTGCCATCTGCTGCTCTCACTACCCCAAAACCCTCCTCTGCCTCCCCCTCAGACCTCTTCTTTCTCAGGGTTTAGAGTCACATGGGCTCTTGCAGCAGGTCCTGAAGATTCGCGTCATCCAGCTCCTTACCCCCCCCCCCACCTCCAGATCCCATCTCTTGAGACCATGACATCTCCCTTCCTCACCCTGCCTCCCTTGACCCAGCAGAGCCCTGGCCTGCTAAGCTGCCTCGCTGAAAACCATCTGGCTTGTGGTTACATGAAGCCCCAAGTTCTCTTCTGATTATATGAACCTCCTGAGCCTGAGAATGTGATATGACTCAGAAACACCCCGAGGGAAGAGATGCATAGGGCAAGGTATGGGGAAAGGGCACGGGACCCCCATGCTCTTCCCAATCGAGTGTGCCACTCTCCCAAATCTCCACGTGTTCACCAACCTGGAAGCTGTCCAAACCCTGTCCTTTTGGGGTTCTATGGAGGCTTCATTTCCTAGGCACGACTGACGAAATCATTGGCCTTGCCTCCAGCTGCTCACCTCTCCTCAGGGCTGGGGGACCGGGGTGTGGGACTGAACGGTTCCAACCCTCTAATCACACAGTTGGTTCCCCTGGCAACCAGCCCCCCACCTTTAGGTGCTTTCCCAAAGTCACTTTGTCAGCTTGACTAAAGACCCGCTTATAGCTCTGTCCCTGAGGAAATTCTGAGGGTTTGGGGAGCTCTGCCAGAAACAGGAATGACGACTTAAGTATTTTGTATTGTATTCCTAATTATAAATCACAGTATCACAAATACGTACCTCGGACAGTCTCTCTGTCCGGCGACGCAAACTTCCTAGGCGACAACGTGAATACAATACAAAGAAATAACAGGTGAAGCTGCCGATTTCTCACGAGATGCAGGATTTCACGAGGTCGGTGATGAAAAGTGATGTTTGGGAAACGTGCCAAAGCCATGAATTTGGGAGGATCCGGAAGAGGTAGGCCCAGCACTGTAATGGAACCAGTAAGAATGACAGCATGATGATTCAACAGAGAACGAACTGAACATCAGAGGGTTTGCTAGTGGTTTTTTGGGGGGCGGGGGTGGGGATGTTGAAATCCTCAAGCACTTTTGCAAACATTGACCTTAAGCAATTTTTCCCTCGAGCACATCATAGGAACTTGGCAACTATCTGTTGAATGGATGAAACAGAATGAGCCTCCTCTTCCTCGTGTAACAGCTCGTTATGTAACAGCTCGTTCAGTTTTAAACGTTCAGACCCTGACAGCCACTGCAGGCTCTCGGGCGCCCCGCCCCCTCGCCTCTGTCGCCCTCAGGGCGCCGGGCGGGGCCAATCCCCACCTTCGGTGTGCGTGATTGACAGCAACGCCCCTCGCTCCGCTGAGAGCCAAGCCCGGAGCCGGGGCCCCGCAGCTGCCCCGCGGAGCCTGGCGATGGAGGAGAGTTCGGCCAACTCAGCAGCCTCTGGGCTCCCAGCACGGCTCCGTCAGCGTCTCCGCGGCAGAGGGAGTCGTGGGAGAGACGACGGGGCCGGATACCTGGATTCTGAGAGCGGGGCTTTTATATCGGTGCGAAAATACACAGAAAAGGTATCTTTCAGAACATACAATGCCGGTGTCTCCGAGAAATAAACATACACGGGTATTGAATAGGCCTCCTGCCAACGCGGGACGACCCCAAGACTTGACTCTGTGAGATTGCAAATGCAAAAGCCGGCTGTACGGAATGGAAGTTTTTTTTTTAAATGGCGGCCTCTAGTGTCATAATCCTTAAGGGCGCGGCCATGACAGTCCCTGGAAGAAAATGAACCGCGGGATAGAGATACACCGTAATACGCCATGATAACTATTGGCAGAATGTGGCTTCAAAGGTTCTTAGTGAGCATGCGCACGGTTCACCCAAACCGGAAGTGGCCCAGGGCGGCCATTTTGTTTGTGTGGTCAACTGCTTCTAACCGTCTGTGGCTTGCGGGACGCTGAGGTGATTGGGAACATTGGCAGTGGGGATTCTGTGGGGTCAGTGAGGTAAGATCAGCTTGGTGTGAGTGATGTGGGGGCGGGGGGACGAGTGGCGGGGTCTGCGGAGTGATGGGGGGATCTGTGGGGTGAGCAATGGGGCTCTTAGTGATGGGAGCAGTGGGGTAAGCGGGGGGTTTCGAATTGAAGTGGGACGATTGGCTCATTCAAGTTCACTCTCTGCGTGTTTTCTGTATGTAATAAGTATTTTTTTGTAACTTAAATCCCAAGTGTACTTTAATAATCAGATTTTATGTTGTTGGCCCATGAAACTTGTTCGTTTGAGGTGTGTCGTAAGGGGCCTTAGTAGATGGTTCTGGGGACATTTGGGGAAGGGCTCCGCTGCCTGAGGCACTGAAGGAGGCAGTGATTGGTTGGAAGCAGGAGCTTTGGGGCTTGGAGGACTTGGGGGGGGGGGCGTTGTGACACATTCAGGTGGGGGCAGTGATTTGTTAAAATCACTTTACCTGTGAAATCGGTGACGTGGGGTGCTAGGGGTAGCATGTAGGAACCAGTTGGCAGCGATGCTCTGTGGGCAGTGAGTGTTGGGGTCCTCCAGGGATGGGTGGTAGGGTCAGTGCGGGCCTCTCCTTGCTGCCTGTGGACATGGCGACGGTCAGTAATTGGCAGTTGAGCAGATAGATGATGGTTTCCTATCAGGGTGTTATTTGGAACCCCACCTTTGGGGATTACTTGGGGTCCTGTGGATATCACGCTCTCTGGGACACGTTTATTGACAATCAAGGTAGTAATGCTTTCAGGAGCCTGGCCATGTCAGTGGCTGGGAGGCATTTAGTGACCTTCCGGCAGTCCCGAGGCCCACTCACTGGGGATTTCTGGAGGCCAGAAAGGATGTTTCTGGAAGCTGTCCCTGCAGGGGACCACACTGGATAGTGGCAACGGTGTGCAGTCTAGAACGAGGCAGACACGGGACTGATTCCCTTTGCAGACTGAGTGACCTTAAGGCAAATTATGTAACAGCATTCAGTCTCAGTTTCCTTACCCACACAATGGGTATAATAATGATTATAGGGAGGGGGGAGGTAGAAGAGGGTAGAGGGGGGTAAATGGTGATGGAAGGAGACTCAACTTGGGTGGTGAACACACGATGCAATACACAGATGATGGATTATAGAATTATACACCTGAAACCTATATACTTTTATTAACCAGTGTGACCCCAGTAAATTCAATAAAAGTAATAACAATGATTATACCCTTTAGCTGATAGTATTGTGTGAAAATTAAACAAGGTACCTGATACCTGACTTGCAACTTGGTGATTTTTATTCAGTGTTTACTGCGTGCCACGCAGCTGCCCAGGGCTTAATAAGCCTCATGTTGTGTAAGTTTCCCAATGCCTGTGATAGAAAACCTTCTTCCTCATTTTGGAAGCTACAGCTAAAATAATAGCTTCATATTCTCACTGGTAAAAGGTGGCAGAGCTGCAATTAAACCTTCATTACATTTAGTCCAAACTCATGTTTTTTTCTTTATTTTTCACTGATTAATAACTGAAGTTGTAGTTTTCTGAACTTGGCTTTTTTCACACACAGTATCTAGCACAATGACCTTCACCTAAGAGCCCTCAGATATATTGGTGTGGAGCAAATGTTAGGTGAGTGACATTGCGGGCATTGCCTTTCCGGGGCTTCTTAGTGTCTCTTCAGAGCCCCTGGATCAGGCCACATCTTTGAGGCTATAGGATCTCCCTTCACAGCCCTGTTCTCTCCTGCAGCCCTGATTGGAGCTTCCAGATGCCCACACAGCTTCGGGCTCCTGGGAAATGTGGAGTTGTCTGCAAGAGAGACCAAGAGCTGAAGCCCAGAGAGGACATGCCTGCTGATGTGAATTTGCCCCAGCAGCCCCAGGTCCTGTGTCCAGAGGAGCAGGATGGATCATGTGAGGTCAGCAGGAGAAGCCCCAGAAACAGCTGTTTAGAACTTCTGGACAGACACAGGAAGCAGCTGATTCTGGACTCCCTGTGCCTGAGACAGTCTGGATCCTCCTACTGAGAGTGGACCACAGGAGGCTGATGTTACCTCATATTCACAGGCCTTCTGTATTAAAGAGGAAACTGGCCTATGAAAGAGGCTGTGTTAGAGAAGAGGGTCAGCTCTGGACCAAAGGAAGAAGAAAACTTAGCCCATGGTTTAGGTGGGAAGCCCTAATCACAAGCAAGACAATGCTAACTCCTTCCTGCTCAGCATAGGCTGAGATCTGCCGCAGGGCTTTTTTGTATTCTCAGTTGGTCCCCACCTGACTTCTACTTACCTGCTCTGTTGGGTTGGGTTGTTTTCCCTCTGTCTTCTATAGAGTCATAGGGTCCTAGAGCAGGAACTGCCTCTTAAGACCATGTGATTCTTCCTGTTTTAAAAAACACATAAAAATGCCAGAGAACAGTGTTGAAAAGTTGCCCACAGCTATTAATATTTCAGAATGAGAAAGCAGGATACTTGGGTATACTCAAGATTTCTTGAAATTCTAAGTTACTCTGTATATTTCATGACACTTTGTGTTTTAAAATTGCTTCCTCCTCCCAATTTCTATAGCTAATTATCTTGTAAATGAGTGGCAGTAATAATAGTACATCATTGTCATGTGATAGGTTTATGTTCAAATTACAGAGAAGTTCTATTTTAAAAAGGTATAGTAAATGCATGGCTTTTTATCATTGTGAGCTAATATATTGTGAGACGATTATATATTTCAGTAGTGTTTAAAAATCATCTCAACCTGACAAAAACATTTTATAATAGAAGACATTAAAAGAAACTTTAACACTATTAAAAGAAATTAAAAACATGCTCTTACATGTATCTTTCCCATTCACCAATGCTGACTGATTCACACTGAGCTGGGGTATGTTATAGGGATCAGTGTCATTTGAGGATGTGACCATGGACTTCAGTAGGGCGGAGTGGCAGCAACTCAGCCCTGCCCAGAGATGCCTGTACCTGGATGTGATGCTGGAGATCTATAGCCACCTATTCTCTATGGGTAAGCACACATGCCCTGGGACCCTTGGATGGGCCTCCTCATGGACTGCAATGGGTCATCTATAGTATGTAGTTGGTTTGTCCTAAACTGTTCATTACTTTTGGGCATCTTTGAGTATTACTTTGTTCTTAGTGAAAGATGTTGACTTTTCTGCTGAGCCAATGCAAGGCTTCATTGAATGGCCTCTAAAGCCCAAGACCATATCCAAATCCAATATCCTTTCTCATTAACAGGGTCTCACATTCCCGACCCAGAGGTCATTTTCAGGATGGAAAAAGAAAAGGAGCTATGGATAGAGGAGGCTGAACTCCCACATCAGAGGCATCAAGGTGAGTGACTGTTACCCTGGCAGATGTAGGTATCTTTGGGGGGCCCATTATTCAACCTATCACACTTATCCATTCCCACAGTGGTGGACGCTTAAGTTGCTTCCTACTCCCAATTTCTATAGCTAATTATCTTGTAAATGAAAGGTTTTGGAGATTGGTCGCACAACAATGTCAACATACTTAACACTACTGAACTATAGACTTAGAAATGGCTAAGGTGGTAAATGTTATATTGATGAGTTAGGTTTTTAATAGGACAAGGGGTCTGGAATACTGTTTATCCAACGTGACTGAAAGACAAAAGAAACAAGATGTATTCATTCACCTCTGATGGTCATATCATGCTCATTTAAATCTCTAGTGAGATATTAGTCACTTTTTATTTTTTAGTATCTACTGCATCTTGTGTTCTATACTAGTAAATTATCATCAGTGATTCCCATTCTTGCTTCTCCCCCCAAAAAAGGTATATTTGGTAGCAGAAAGCTGAAAGTTATAACAGAGAACAAGGTCCAGAATAAATGAGTTTATATGTGCATCACATAGAACATTGCCTGGAAAATGCTAAGTGCTAGATAGATAAGTGCTTGACATATAAGGGCTGTGTGACTGTTTTCTTCAATCACTACCACCATTACCACTGTCATATGACTCAACTATTTCCCTTGCTCACTCTCAGTCAGCTCCATATGAGTTTTCTTCTACCCTTTTCTAACTATTCATCATGTCTATTTCATCTTTTTCTCCTTCTAGAAATGAAGTTTGGTCTTAAAACCCCACAACAGGAAATTTCTGGAAGAGCTTCATTTCATAATGATATGGTGGACAAAGTCCCAAGGGATGGCTCTTGGTATTATATTTTAGAAGAACTGTGGAAAGATGCTGACCATACAGAAAGAGAGCAGCAAAATCAAAATAAACCACATTATAGGGCTCCCCTCAACAAGAAAAAATTGAATACAAAGAGAGATTGTGAATATAAGGACCCTGGGAAAATCACTCATGTGAGGCCTCACCTTGTTTCTTCACAAAAAAGACCTCGTAAACATTGTTCATTTGCAAAAACTTTGAAGCCTAACCTAGAAGTCAATTGTCAAAATCAAAGCAGTACCACAAAACACCTTGATGAGATTATTGGATCTGGTCAGCTACTCACCCATAGCTCTTCCAATGCTAGCTGCAAGAACATTCATACAGGAGAGAACGTCTGTAAACGTAATCAATGTACGAAAGTCCTCAACCATAAACAGTCAGTTGCACGACCTCAAATTCATACCCAGGAGAAACCAGATAAATGTACTGAATGTGGGAGAGACTTCATGCAGAAGTCACACCCCATCAAGCCACAGAGATTCCACAGTGTTGAAAACCTCCAAGAACGCAGCAAATGCAGAAAAGCCTTCACCTCACAACCAAAATTTGGTGAATATCTGACAGATCACACAGGTAACAAACCTTATATATGTAAGGAATGTGGAAAAGCCTTCATTCAGAGGTCAGAGTTGATTATACACCAGAAAACTCACACTAGAAAGAAGCCCCATAAATGCCATGAATGTGGAAAAGACTTTTTCCAGATGCTCTCTCTCTTCAGACATCAGCGAATTCATACTAGAGAAAAACTCTACAAATGCAGTGAGTGTGGGAAAGGCTTCTCCCAGAATTCGACCCTTATTATACATCAGAAAATTCATACTGGTGAGCGGCAGTATGCATGCAGTGAATGTGGGAAGGCCTTCACCCAGAAGTCAACGCTCAGCTTACACCAGAGAATCCATTCAGGGGAAAAGTCCTATGTGTGTATCAAATGTGGGCAGGCCTTCATCCAGAAGGCACATCTAGTTGTGCACCAAAGAAGTCACACAGGAGAGAAACCTTACAAGTGCCACAACTGTGGGAAATCATTCATTTCTAAGTCACAACTCGATATACATCATCGAATTCATACTGGGGAGAAACCTTATGAATGTAGTGACTGTGGAAAAACCTTTACCCAAAAGTCACACCTCAATATACACCAGAAAATTCATACTGGAGAAAGACACCACATATGCAGTGAATGTGGAAAAGCCTTCAACCAGAAGTCAATACTCAGCATGCATCAGAGAATTCACACTGGAGAGAGGCCTTACAAATGCAGTGAGTGTGGGAAAGCCTTCACTTCCAAGTCACAGTTCAAAGAGCATCAGCGAATTCACACTGGAGAGAAGCCCTACGTATGCAGTGAATGTGGGAAAGCTTTCAATGGGAGGTCAAATTTCCATAAACATCAGATAACTCACTCTAGAGAGAGAACTTTTGCCTGTTACACATGTGGGAATTCCTTCATTCAGAAATCAGAGTTGATTACACATCAGAGAATTCATATTGGAGAGAAACCTTATGAATGCTATGACTGTGGGAAATCCTTCAGTAAGAAACCACAACTCAAAGTACATCAACGAATTCACACAGGAGAGAGACCCTATGTATGTTCTGAATGTGGGAAGGCCTTCAACAATCGATCAAATTTTAATAAACACCAAACAACTCATACCAGAGACAAATCTTACAAAGCAGTTAATTCTGTGAAAGGCTACACCTAGAAATCAATACCCAGTACAAATTAATGGATACAGAAATGAAACAAACACTCTGAATTTCTTGAAGAAAAATAATCTCATGAGTCAGATTTAATTGTATATTTTGGATTCAGAAAAAAAATCTGTGCATTGCATGTCACAAAGTTCCACATTCTTCTATGTGAAGGAATTACTCAGAAAAGAACTTTTAAGAATGAGTAGAATTTTCCATATTTGTGGTATCCTTGTTAAGGATTATAAAACTCATCTGGGGAAGAAATTGTGGCTAATGTCTTGAGAAAAGTATTTCTGTAGAAAGGGATAAAAGTCAGATTGGAAATCATGTTAATGATAACTGTGTTCAATGTGAGATATCAATATTTTTAAAGTGCCAGCAAACAACAGGACAATTATGTATGTATGTATGTATGTGTATTTGTATGTATATTTATATATGTATGTATATTTACACACACACACCCTCAGTTCTGTAGTGTTTGCTACAAAATCCACTGCATAACAGGAGGTGTGGATAGATGATATACTTTTTAAAGAATGTAATGATTAAATTTAGTCCTTATTGATATTTATATCTTGAGATTGCACAGCCAATAATTGTTCATTTCTTTATGTAGACACATGAATGTGCGTTTTGGTAAATGCGTAAATGTGACTGTATAATGTATACTGGTATTCATAATGTAGTGTTTCTCTTTGTTCGTGAATAGCTCAGCTCTACCCTCGCTTTTTCTTTCCACTCCACCATCTGTGATAAGCCTCGTGGATAACCAGTGTATGGACTGGTTATGGACTCTCTAATATTTTTACACAGGCTCCTAATCATACACACCAGGAGCAGGCAAATGCTACCAGCTAAGTCTGGTCTGCCACCTGTTTTTTTAAATAAAATTTTATTAGGACACATTCATATTCATTTGTTTATTGTCTGTGGTTGCTTTTGTGCTCCAGTGGCAGAGTTGAGTAATTGTGGCAAAGACCATATTACCTACAAGCCAAAAATATGTACTCTCTGGCCCTTTACAGAAGTTTGCCAACATCTGTTATCCACATACACTCCTTACTATGCTCATAATCATATACCTATGTAGGAACTCTTTCCTCTGTTTTATAAATATCAAGTCATATCACACACACGTGCATCTTGTTCTCTTCACACAATACAGCTGTTAAATGACTGCATGGTATTCTATCACGAGGACATGCTGTATTTACCCAACCATCCTCACATTTTTTCATTCATCATTTTCTCCACTTTTTTCCGCTACAGAAAGCTAGGTTCCTGTATTTGAATCTACATCAATTGCGCAAGTCATTTAATTCATCTGTCCCGGTTTTCAAAAGGAAGATTATAATAGTGCCTACCCCATGAGTCTGCATGAGAAGTAAGGGGGTGGGTGGGTTGGTGTAAAGCACTTGGAACTGCATGGGGAGAACCAATGCGGTGAGTCTGAGTGGGAACATGAATGAATGAATGAAATGAATGAATGAATGAGTGAATGAATGAATGGGTGAGGATTAGCGATGACAGAAGAAGTGAATAAAATAAACTCCTTTAATAAGAAATCAGATGAAACAGGTAGGAGGGCTTCTTCCCTGCAGCCCGTCTTAGAGATTCTCTTCCAGCCTCCAGATAGCCCTTAGCTTGGCACTGGGGCTCTTGGGGCTGGGACATGGATGTCCACAGTGAGGTTGGTATAGAGGGGCTGCAGCTCCTTGGAGAGCAGCGTGTAGCCCAGTGAGTTCAAGCCATCATGCCGCCACCTGCGTTGCATCAGGGCAAGGAAGCCAGGACTAGGGGGAGCGACAGCCATGTGAGCCCAGGGATGACCCAGGACCAGCCACTCCCTTCTAACCCCAACTCACCTCTTGGGACTCTGCTTGTGGCTGGGGTCCAGCCCCTCCTCCAGCATGTGGTAGCGGCCAAAGAGCAGATGCGGTCGTGAGAGGAGCATCCCGCTTAGTTCCAGCCTTAGAGGGTAGAGGGCAGGGAGGCCAAATGCCTGTCACCTGTGATAGGATCCCCATGCCACAGCCTAGCCTCTCAGGCCAGGGTGGCCTGTAGTTCCCACACCATGGAGGGACCTGCAGCCCCCGTGCTAGGCGCCCTGGAGCAGGGCCCCTTACCTGGCAGCGATGTCTTCATCCTCACGATCCCAGCCCCAGCATGTGTTGGGAAAGCCATTTATCCTCAAGTAGTGAACTGGGCGCAGGGCAAACACTCCTCCAAGGTAGCCTCGGTAGGGCAGCCTGGAGAGGCAGAGAGGGTTGGAAACAAGGAATTTCAGGTAACAGGCCCTGGCCCTTTCCTAGCCAGGATCTCCAAGGTTAATTTCTGGGTTAGCCCTTGTCCACTCACCCGTGATAACATCTCCCCTGACCCCTAGGAAGTCCCCTTGCCTGATCCTTGGGTAGCCCTTCCCCTGATCCTTAAGAGAGCCCCTTACTTGATCCTGGCATATCTACTCCCTGAATCATCTGACAAGCCCATCTTGTGATCCCATTGCTGGCCCCTTCCTGATCTCTAGTCGGCCCTTCCTAGCATTCATTCCCATCCTCTGACCTCAGTTAACAACCTGTCTACCTACCACTTTATTAAGTGCATCCTGACTCCCTTATGAATAACCAATTCCACCCCCATTTGACACCCCATATCCAAAAGGAAGATTCTTCACTGTCTATGAGGTCCCTCTCCAGGTCCCATTGTCCCCTCCCTGCCTCAACCCTAGGGATCAGGATCTAGATCATAGAGATGGGTGGCAAGATCCAGGGATGAGCAGGGCCTGGCCAACAGTCCACCTTCCTCCACGTACTTGTAGTTGAACTTATCAATGGCCACGGACACATGGGCAGGGAAGATGTCACAGATGTAGAGGTTGCGGTTGTCCTCCGGGAGTAGGTTCACATCGTGGAAAAAGACACAGTCCCAGTCTTCCTCTTTCATGGCCTCCCAGAATCCCACATTGCGAAGCTTGCCCCGGTTGAAGGCCGTGTTGTTCACCTGGGTGGACAGAGACGCTCAGTGTCGTCCTCACCAGCAGGCAGTTGTGTTCTCTCACCTGCTAGGCCTATCCTCATCTTTTCCAGCGCTGTTCTCCTGCCTGGAACCCCTTCTTATTCCCACTGTGGAGCTGGAAAACCCACACTTGTCCAGGAAGGTGCAATTCAAAGGTTACCTCCCCTGGGAAACTTTTCCTGGACTCCCAACCCCATCCTAGGCAGAGCAGTAACTTCAGCCTCTCAGTTCTCCCTCCTCAGCCATGTTCAAGGTTCTCAAGGATCACTACCTTCAAGAGGCCATCTGAGGGAGGCAGAGGCTAGGAGCAATCAGGGAACCCCTGGGTCTGTTTCTGTTCCAGCTAGACAATGACTGGGTTTGATGTCTAAGAACCATGAGAGGACTTGCCTCTCCTCCCCAGAGAGGCCCAGATTCAGTGAAACTGAGCCTTTCCCTCAGACAGCCATTCAAGCTGATCCCAAACTCAAGCCAGTCGAGAGACCAAACCTATAGCCCTCGGCTCTGATTGCCCCCCATTCAAGATCTTCTTGACTCATAAGCCCAGCCCCCAGATACTCTCTGGCCCAGACACTCTTGGCTCAGAGTGACAACTTCAGCTCTGGCTGCCCAAGGCCATGCTAAGAGCCCCCTGCCTCTTGCCTTTGGTCCTCCCCATTCTCACCATACCTGATTCACCACGTAGATGGCATAATGCAGCTGCTGACGCTGCAGGAAAGGGTGCAGGTGGAAGAGCAGGTGCTGCAGGTGCTGGGCTTGCCCGTAGTAGGGCACCACTACTGCCGTGTGGTGCTGTGTCCAGCAGCCGGGTGGCCGGTATTGGCCTCCGGGCTCCACCAGTGGGTTCTTTTCCACCACCTGTTCCAGTGTCAGGTTCTCTGGGATCATCACCTTCAAGGGGCCACCTAAGAGAGGGAGAGGCCAGAGATTATCAGGAACCTATGCCAGAAACCCCACAACCCAGCTGTACTGGGTTGAATCATTCCCAACCCCCAAATTCCTGACCACCCAGAACTTCAGAATGTGACCTTATTTGGAAATAGGATCTTCACAGACATAATTGGTTAAAATGTGGTTATACTGGATTAGGGTCAGCCCTAAATCCAATGACGAGTGTCCTTATAAGGCCATGTGAAGCCCCTGAGAGAAGGCAGCCATGGAGACATAAGTTAAAGTGATGTGCCCACAGGCCAAGGAACACTGGGGATTGCCAGCAACCACAAGTGCAGGGAGAGGCGTAGAATGGTTTCTCCCTCAGAACTTCTAGGAGGAACCAAACCTGGCCACACCTTGATTTTGGACTTTTGGCCTCCAGAACTTCTAGAGAATAAATCTGTTGTTTAAGCCACCAAATTTGTGGTACTTAGTTATGGCAGCTCTGGAAACTAATACACAAGCACAAAGGGCTCTGAGGTTCCTCTGTTGGCTCAAAAATGCCCTGCCCTCCTGGTTTTCCCTGCACCTCTCAAAATCTCCTCCTCTGATTCTTCCTTCCTCTCTCCCCCAGCTCCTATGTTTCTCTCTTCTCCCCTCAGCAAGCTCATCACCTCCTATAGCTTTTCTTCCTGTGGGCCCCAATGGTCCTAAATCTGCCTCCTGAGCTCCAACCCCAACCAGCCTCCCACGTCTCCTCCTGAATGGTTCTCAGGCTGACCACTTTCCCTACATCTCAGAATACTGTCCTTCTCAATTCTCCCCACCATGGAGGGCTCCACTATCCGCCCACTCACCCCCTGCCTCCTCTCTTTCTGTGGTGGACCATATTTTTTCCAAAGATGGCTACAACAATGTCTTACCCAACATTCCCTTCTTACAATGTGACTACCAGTCCTATTGGAAGATGTGTCAGGGTCCCCACCCTTTAAATCAGGTATGCTTTTATGACTGTCTCAATGAATGGAGTATGGCAGAAGTGATGTTATGTGGCTTTTGAGGCTAGATAATCAAAGGCCATATGGTTCTGCCTTGTTTAAGCAAATACTTGCTTTTGAAGCCATCAGCCACCATGTGAGCTCTAGGCCCACCTTGCCTTGAGGAAGCCTGAACTAGCCCATTGCAGAGACATTATAGAGAGATCCTGAGATCACATGAAGAGAACCAGGTGCCCAGCCAGTTTCTGCCACACCCACCCCTTGCTGTTGAAGCTCTAGCCACATCTCACTGCAACTGCATAGAAATCATGGGCCACAACCGCCCAGCTGAACCCTTCCCAACACTCCTGACCCACATAAATTTTGAGAGTTAATGAATGTTTTAAAGACACAAAGTTTTGGGGTGATTCACTATGATGCAGCAATAGTTAATCAGCTCTCTCTCCACCTAAAGCCACCAGGTCCACAGCTTCTGCTTCCAGGTTTTGCTCCCTCCTCAGCAATTCCTTGCCAGCTCCCAAAGCCTGAAGTAGGGTTGGGGTGTAGGAGGCCCCCCACAAGCTTACTGATGTAGGGTGAGATGATGGGGCAGTTGGGCAAATCCTCCCTACTGGTGTCCACATGGTGGATCTGGCTGATGTTGGAGTACACGTCCTGGTGAGGGATTCCTAGAGAGGAGACCTGGGCCACAAAGGGAAGCTCTTCTCCCACCTCTGGCTTGTCTTGTATGAGGAAGTGCAAGGAGGTGAAGCCATGGTGGCGGTGGTTTTGGTAGAGGAATAACCCCATAAGCAGCAGTTGTAACCCCAGAAGTAATAACAGGAGCCCCTTCTGCTGTTCCATTCTGGGAAAGGAAAACAGAAGGTCATTCCTCCCATTTTGCAAATCCCTCACTTCTGTGCCACAGAGTCCCCATCTCCTGCACCCATCCTTCCCTGATTGACTTTGCACACTCCACAGAAGGGAGACCAGAGTGAGACACTTCCTGAGGCCACTCAAGGCCACACCATCTGTGCAAAAAAC